CGTGCATCGTTTGACTTGGTCACCAAATGTGTAATGATACCAGCATTTGTCAAATTCTTTGAACTGATGTCCTTGAACGAGACTTTGAACGCGCATGTGAACGAGACTTTGAACGCGAATGCGAACGAGAACGACGATTTCTGACTGCACCCGCCAATTTTGAAATGGAAGCCTTGAGACGCGAAAATCTTCATTCCAGAGCGGCAACGGCTGGATCGGCAACAGGGGAAATAGCAGTGATACTTGGTGGTGATGAGATCTGTAATTTATCTGCGAGCGCCGCCATTTTGTCGAGGGTAGAATCTGCTTGCGTCGCCAGGATTGATTGTGTTGGGCGGCAAGCATGACAGCTATTTTTTTAAATATTCTCTAGAATAGTATCGACAAGGGGTTTTAGATGTTTTAAAATTTGTGAGGGCTTACGAGCACCGAGAACCTCTTTGTCCAGGAGCTGGTGTAGTCTGGCCTCCTGGGAAGCGGTGAGGCTCTCAACGACGGCGTCCCTTAACGCCTTGTACGGAGTCTGAAGTGTTGGATGCAGGATAGTACCGGAGACCTCGGTTGCGGCAGCGGTATCTAGATGAACGACAGCCATGTGGAATTTGTCCGCTTCATTCTCGATGCCGGCAAGGTGAAATTCCCCTTCGAGCTGAGCAAACCAGAGTTCAGGACGCTCAGCGGGAAATGGTGCAGGGAGAACTATAAGGCGTCTTAATGCCTGAGTTGTGTCAGCTTCCTTGCCCATTTTCACTAAATTTTACTTTTAGAGTGTGTTTTTCTGACCGATGATTTAAATTGATGAGATGGTTATTGGCCTCTGCGGTCGTAAAGCTGACTCGATGAAATAAATGAACTCAAATGTTTCATAAGAAACGCCCGACGTTTTGGCTGTATGTACGCAACCATCTTCAGGGGCTATTTTATTTTATCTACAAACCAAGAATAAAAAGAATCCATACAGTAATCATAACACTTATTGACACAAGCTATTATTGCAATATCGAAATAAGTTAAGCCAACAATACCTCTTCTTGCGGTAATCCATAGCTCATATTGGGGACAGTATTTTGATGCGATGGACAGGTATAATCGGTAAACAGAATCCATTGCAAGGAACCCGGACGTAGAAAAAACAATTCTTAAAACTAATAACCTCCCACAACGTAACACAACCCTATTTGACTAACCCCAGTGACTCCAAACGACCTCATGACAATTTATTATATTAAAAAACCCAAAAAAAACAACAGCAATCCCCAACAATTACCTGCCATCACCGTACAACCATACACTCTGCACCAGCGTCATTCCAGTGCGCGTACGGCCCCCCCACATCAGTTAACACACACAACAGTTCCACCGACAACCGGCAGCACTCAAGCCACCTCACACCACTACCGCCAAAACACACAACATTCCACTACAATTCTCCGCGCCATCGACAGTAAATCCATCGGTACAATTATTTGAAGTTCAGAATTAGGGTATTCTAAGCAGATGACAAACTGTTAACATCCGTCTGGCAGTTAATACTATTGTCACGCTGGTTTGTGATGTGGAACATCTCCAGGAAATTCTTTTTGGTCTTATTAATTTCTGTGTCCAGAATCCTAACATTATTGAAGTCAAATTGGTGTTTTTGCTCCAGTGCATGTTTCGCCAATGCTGTGCGACCATTATCACTGGGTTTACTGATACTGTACTCGTGCTGATAAATTTTATCCTTGAAGTAGCGACTCGTCTGCCCTACATACGTCATACCACAGTCATTGCAATCTATCTTGTAGATCAAACTCGATTTCAGTTTCGCATCTATTTTATCCTTTGACCAGCCCAACAAATTAGCCAACTTCGGGGTGATCCTCGTAATAATGCTGATATCTACTTTTTATGATGGCGCGGAGAATTGTAGTTGAATGTTGTGTGTTTTGGCGGCAACGGTGTGNCTAATTCTGAACTTCAAATAATTGTACCGATGGATTTACTGTCGATGGCGCGGAGAATTGTAGTGGAATGTTGTGTGTTTTGGCGGTAGTGGTGTGAGGTGGCTTGAGTGCTGCCGGTTGTCGGTGGAACTGTTGTGTGTGTTAACTGATGTGGGGGGGCCGTACGCGCACTGGAATGACGCTGGTACAGAGTGTATGGTTGTACGGTGATGGCAGGTAATTGTTGGGGATTGCTGTTGTTTTTTTTGGATTTTTTAATATAATAAATTGTCATGAGGTCGTTTGGAGTCACTGGGCTTAGTCAAGTAGGGTTGTCTTACGTTGTGGGAGGCTAATAGTTTTAAGAATTGTTTTTTGTACGTCCGGGTTCCTTGCAATGGATTCTGTTCACAGGTTATACCTGTCCGTCGCATCAAAATACTGTCCCCAATATGAGCTAGGGATTACCGCAAGAAGAGGTATTGTTGGGTTAACTTATTTCGATATTGCAATAATGGTTTGTGTCAATAGGTGTTATAATTACTGTATGGATTCTTTTTATTCTTGGTTTGTAGATAAAATAAAATAGCTCCTGAAGATGGTTGTGTACATACAGCCGAAACATTGGCCGTTTCTTATGAAAATTTGAGTTAATTTATTTCGTCGAGTCAGCTTTACGACCGCAGAGGCCAATAACCATCTCATCAACTAAATTTCACTAAAAATGTTCGAAAGTGCACTAATCACGGCAAAAATTGATCGTGATAATTTTCACGTCGCAGCACAACGTCTTTGGATACTCTGCGATGCACCAAGATGCACAAAAATATATATAACACGTGGTAACACAGCGCGCGAAACCACAGGAATGCTACCGAGCACTATGCTAAAACCCAACGCTTCTCGAACATTCCACAAAAAACCACGCGACACGAAAACCACTTTAATTTTAACGGAAAATGGCACAATTTTAACGATTACACTTGTTAACACGTTAATGCGGCAATTTATTTGTCACGTTGAAGGAATCACGTCGGGGTCACCATTTATGGGAGTTCGGTAAGGGATAGATGGGTTTTGTAACGTATAACAGTCGGAATTCATCTACTATATCGAATAAGATTTATTCACAGTAATGTAACTTGGTTTACACCGTGAAAGCTGGAACGAGAGTGAGCTTCCGCGATAAAGGTATTAGATCATCCGATCGAGGATGTCCGAATTATTACGAATCGTCGCGACGTGACGTAATAAGGTATTCGGTTGCCAAGCCAAGCTCGAATACAATAGTTTGAAATAATGCGAAACAAATATATATAAGTAGCTTCGCTACAACGTGTCTTTTAGATTTTAGTCCTTCATAACATATATAAACTTCATCAAAATCGGAGGCGGACCCCTACCTAGTGTTGCTTGTGAGTGTCGCATCACACTGAAGTTGACTGCCCATGGGACAGAATTCACACGGAGTTGCATCGGTATAACCAATTAGACCTCAAGATTTTCCAGCCGATTTTATTTGCTCGACTCTGATTGGTGGATGCAGACGCATTCCGTGTGAATTCTGTTCCATGGGTAGTCACCCCAAGTCAGAGATCCAATTGCGTTGACACCCGTCCGTGATGCAGCAATAGTACCCGATGGATTTTCTGCGTCTCTCGAAGTGCCTATCGCAGCCATATTCAATGTCGTATGTCAACTCATGCCATGTTTTTGTATCATGAAATTTATACTAGGGCAGCTGTAATACCACGAGAGCTTCAAAATGATGTGCCAAGTGTCAAGTTTCGTAGGTTAAAAAATCTCGAGCGTTTGCGAGAGAGACATTTCACGCAAAATTTGAGACGCTCGTTTGTATGCAGAGAAGCGTGAGAGATATACCCGAATCATTTTGAAACTCAAGTGGTATTCGGCGGATTTGATTTTCCTCCGAATTTCAACCAAAAAAATTATTTACGAAAATTTTTTTAGTTCCCAAAGTTAACGGAGCATTACCGGAAATTATCAAAACTATGGCACTGTAATCCCCCCCTCTCGCCCAGTGAATACTACAATTCTATTGGTGGAGATTGTGAGAAAGGCAATAATCAGTTGTAATACTCCGGAACCTGCAAAATTATCGAATATTTCCCGATAACTCCATAGCGTAGCAATGAGAGAAATGAGTATTGCAGGATACAAATCACGAGCAATAAGCGCATATGATTTTTCTGCAAAGCTCACCCAGATTGCTGATATGCAAAGAAACTTGAGGGAAATATCCGATGAATTTTGGAGGTCTAGGGGTATTCGAAGGAGAATTTCCTTCCTCCTGGGTTCGATTAGAATAAAGTGGTCGAGGTCACGTGACATCTCATACAAACATCTCACAGAAATGAAAAATTGTTAATCTTATTCGGAGGACAATTTCTGCAATTCTAATTTTGGTCAAACAAAGTGCGGTGTTCTGGATTACGTGACACTTTTCACCAAATTGTGGAGAATATCTGTCAAAAGAAGAAAAATAATTGATAGCCTACTGTGGAATTAGCCAGTAGCCTGGTGAATTATCAAAATAAAACTGATATGAAAATGTCACGTGATCCTGAATACTGCACTCTGATTGGTCGAAATTAGAATTTAGGAAATTGTTAAAATAAAACCGATGTGAAGGTATCACGTGACATCGAATACTGCGCTCTGATCGGACCCACCGCGGAGCGAGAAAATTCCCTGTGAAATATGAAATTTCACTATTTTTCCCTCCTAAATGAAATTCGATGCCACTATTTTCGCAATTACTGCCCTACTGTTTATGAATTTCAATTTGATTGTAATTGTGAGGTATTCACCATAAGAAAAACTAAAGCCAGCGCATAATTCTCATCCAAAAATATGGAAACGAAAATAGTGAATGATTAAAAATTATATCATAAAAAGGATTTGGTTTGAATGTCCTTGTCTTTCGATGTTCTTGTCCTGAAGGAAAAAAAGCAAAAGATATTTCTCCAGAATAAGTATAACTAAAAAAAAATCTAAAACAATTATTATTCTCAGGAATTAATTGTACCAACTAAGAAATATTATTTTCCCTACCTATTTGTTTTGGTCAATAGTGCTCCATAAACTGCACTAAAGCTTACACCAACGCCAAACCTCTGCAAAATACACGAAACAGTTGTGGGTTGTGCAAGAAGAACAAAAGTATTCAGATAACACACAAGCACTCCAGCAAGTAAAATAATCGTCAGCTCCCTTCCAGAGGCTCTGACAACAGGTGTATCTCGATGTCGGAACATAAGTCCAGCCACAGCCAGCGTGGCGACTATTCCTAGACATGATATAACAGCTGGAGCTATTGCGAACGCTGAGGTCCAGTTGATGTGTTTAATCGGCAAAAAGTAACAACCACGCTTATCCGAATGAGGCCAGTAGCCATAACCACAATCTTTGCAGGTTGTCTCATTGTACACATACTCGTACTCCTCGCACTGATCGCAAACCCAGCAGCAGGTGTCCCCCTGTTGCTTACGAATCATACCCGATTCGCAGGGCAGCGAGCAAGCGGATATAGGCATAGTTTCTGTTCCTTTTGCCCAGACCAGTTGATCGGTGTGGAAATCCAACCAGTTGTACCATTTCCCAACTACCTGAAGGATTAGAAAAGGAAAAAATTTCATATGATTTTTTAATTTAGCTCTAGCTTTTTCTCTTTATTCTGAAAGTTTAGGCTTTCAAACATGGAATGTGTAATATTTCCAGTGAAATCAAGAATCTTCGGTTCGATCCTGCGCGCTATTGTTTGAAAAACGACGGTTTAGAAAAGAAACATCAATCAATTGATAAAGCATTTGAGATAGTCGACCACATCTTGTATAGAAATATGGGACATTCCATGACAATCCAGCCACCCTAAATTTTTCGGGTTCTCCGAATCGAGATACGCGGTAGCGTATCGGCCAAGTCGCCCCTTCTTTATATAAAATAAAATGAAAACAAGCGCTACCACGTATCTATACACCACACAACTTCCCCTTCCACTACCCACAATATATTTTTCTTCGATTATTGCCGAACGCGATTATTTAAACGAAAAGTGTCCTTAGTTACACTATATAAATCGTTCATCCGCTTTCCACTTATCTCATTATTAATGTCATCTGCTGAATATTTTTACGAAAATGTGCCCATAGCAACGAGCTATTATACATATTTTCGCGTTCTCATCATTATCTCCCAGCAAGAACGGTCAGACTGGAGCCGTTGAGTTGGCAGCGAAAACCCTGAACTCCTTTTTCCCGTCCAGAAATTGGCGATAGTGTCTTATTTTGCTAGTGTCCTTTGACGATCGCCATTTTTATTACTAGTTTGTGCGGCAAATTTCGAATTTACGATTAGATACTTCTCGTATTTTCATCAAATCGATAATAAATATAATAATACTTTCAAGAGATTATTATTTATAATACTCCTTTCCAACGTATTTGAAAAATATTATAAACTACCATTTGATGAAAATAAATAAAGGAAACTATCTAATCATAAATTCGAACTTCCGCCGCGAAAACTAGTAATAAAAATGACCCGCCACCTGGATGAGCAGAGAACCAGCTCGGTACGTAACAATTACTAGTCCCCGGTGACACCAGCACCAATTTCCCAAGTGCAGTGGAGTGTTCGAGAACTTGTGCTTTCTCCTCCATTCGACGGGCAACATGGACGACAGAAACGACGCTAACCGTTCACCTCCTGCATTCGACGACGATGACGAGGAATTGGTGAGTTTTTGATAATCAATTTAATGACTGAAATATTGGTGGGAATATGGTGCACCGTTTGTGTCTTTTTTTTTCGTTCCTAAACGCGTTTTCAGTGAGTACATTCGGTTTATGTTCGGGCGTCTTGGGATCAGCGTGGTCGACCGGTGGAGGGAAAAGTGCGGGGATCATTTTTCATTAATTGGACGGGTTTTCAGGGAGCAAATCCGGTTTTTGTTAACGCGTTTTGTGATTAGTGTGGTCAAAAAATGGCGGAGGGGAAAGTGCGGAGATTATTTTCCGTTGATTCAACGCTTTATCCGGTGGTGGGCGGGGGTGGGGGAGGAGAAGGGTAAAAATAAAACGGTGAAGAAAAAAATGTAGGAATCATTTTACATTGATTAGACGTGTTTGCGGGGGGTAAATTCGGTTTGTGTTGAAGAGTTTTGAAATTAGTGTGGTCTAACGGTGGACGGGAAAGTGCGGAGATAGTTCCTCGCCGATTCAACGCGTTACCCGGGGGGGGGGGGGGGGGGGGAAAT